TGTAACTCGAGACTCCTTTGGTGGGGTCCTTTCCCTTTCTGTCGAGTGTTCACCATGGTCACTGCTCTTTATAGAGAAAAAACTAGGAAAACTAGTCGTTTCCCATAGACGGCGCCAGATTATGCGTGCAAGATCCTGCACAATATAAAAAACGAGAACAGATCTCTCCCTTGGTGAACTCGAGTGAGCTAGTTGAGTGACCAACCACGCTGCTTGGAACAGCCTGCGAGGTCCGGTGGTAACCTGGAACGGCAAAGGGAGACCCTGGGGAGCGGAAGAACGATCCAGTAAGGCTGAAAGAGGTTCCTGGAACAAAGAAGAACAAGTTAGAAGGGCGCCGGAGTGTTTTCCGGCGTATCCCCTCCGACGATCTAGTCAGTCTTTGAGAAAGAGAGAGGAAGGAGAAAACACTGAGTGTGTATTGTAGTAAAGAGTTTTTTGTTGCATACCCGTCTTGCCTTTTGCAAGGAGTATTTATACCTCAAAAGCTCATGATTGCTGTCAGTGTAGTCAGTAGGTGATCATTAGGTACAGGCAGTGTGCGCACTGATTCTGATGAGGAATGTCTTCTCTTCTTAACTGCTCGGGGTCCCGAGCAATCAATGCTGGGTCATCGGGATGCCGACGGTACAATGTACTCCTCTCGGGGAGGATGCAATAAATGCTCTGTATTAGGAGCATTTATTGTCTTTCATTTCCGAGCCTTACCGCATTGAATGCGGTCTCATCAAGGGAATGGTGTAATTAATCGTTTGCTTTCCCAAGTCGCGTGTCAACAACGGCATGCGGTTTCTCTGTCTTCGATGTGATATCATACGCCACGCGTCCATCACCCATTGGCTGTGGCCCCTGCATTCCAGTACGTTCTGACACTAATTGTGTAAGACGAGGTCATGATGAATAGCCTAGGCTAATGACCTGTACGTCAATAGCTTATCCTGGAGTAGAGGAAGCGTCCAGGACGGGGTACCTCTCGGCACCGAGGAAAGGCTCATCTCGGAACCGAGGGAGGTATACTGACCAAGGTACCATATCAGACCGAGGTTACGTGTTGGTTGTAACTCGTACTGAAATGCCATGATCCTATATGACGAGTACCTCGGGGGCGAGGACCTTTATGCGCCGATGGTGCTTGATCTTAGTAACAGTGTTTTGGTAAATACCGAGGACACGTGTCTTCATGATGGAGTATTTCAGAAAAGTCCCATCAATCACCTATGTGCCTAAGGAAAACAAATGCGTCCTTTAGTATAGCCTTGTCTTCAGAAGCAGAGGTGGAGCATGTGTTAGCAGCTGCTTAAACCCAATACCCCTCTTGGATCAGCTCTAACCTTGACTAAAATTTGATTTAACATTTGAATAAAAAGTTTGATTTGATACAAAATACTCCAATGAACAAATTTAAATTTAAAGGAGAACATACTCAAATTTAAAAGAGGACAAAACTAAATTTAAAGGAGTGTAAAAATGACCACTGCATCTTTAAAAAAAAGTATAATTTGACTATTGAAAATTTGAGTAGAAATTTGAGTCTCCCTTCATTTGGTGACTAGAGTTTGTTTTTAACTTGTTTTTACTAAAATTTAAGTTTAAGTCAAGATTTGAGTAAGGTTTGGAGTTGCTTTTACATGTGATGGCACTTTGCATGTGAGGTAGGATGCTTTTGGCCCAGTTTGATAGTTGTTGATCTTGACCTTAGAAAGAAAGATTGTTGAACATTGACCTTCAAGGTCAGTTCGTGCTTTGGTAACTGCAGATGATTGTCCATTTAATAGCTATTTTGAATGTAAAAGAAGGGTTTAAACGTTTTGAAGGATGCCCCTCATCCTAGAGCTTTTTTATAGATGCTAATCTTCTAAAACCCGATAAAAAAAAATTATTATTATTATTATTATTAAAATCCTAATAAAAAGGGTAAAATAATAATTAATTGTTAAATTATGGGTCAAAAACGTAAATTTAAAAAAAATAATAATATATATATAGATATATATATATATATAAGTGGAAGACTTTGTCTTCCACTTTTTATGTTTTTTACAGCCGGCGAGACAAAGAGAATGAGAAAAAAAATGAGTTTTTATTTTTTTTTCTCTTTTCTTCTTTCTCAGATCTAGGAAAATTTAACCGTTTAATCGCTTCGGGCCAAGAACTAAAGTTGCTCTACTCAGCGAGAGCTACGCAACCACACAAAATATCGTATTTTTCTTCGAAGGAATATCAAAGCCGATAATCTAGGCTTAAAACTTAGGAAGCTAAATTTAGGCTTCCTTGGCGTTCTAGTAAGTGGTCTCACGCTACGAGAGGTAGGGTTTCCCCTATTTAGATTTAATTTCAACTTAAAATATGACATATGGAATGAGTAGATTATGAGTGTATATCACATGTTAGGTCTTGACTAGTGTGACTAGTGGGTCAAATATAGAATTTATAATTAATCTTGTGATTAATAAAATTCTATTGTGATTAACTTGGTGTAAGTTAATGTTAGTAGTTTAAAGCATGTTAATTGTATGTTAGCATTACTTTATATTTTAATGGCAGATCAAGTTTAATAAAATTATTAATTTGTTATATGATTGTGAAATAATATATATATATTAAATGATTATTTTGGTGGACTTGTGCTTATGTTAAACATGTTGTCATGTTGCAAGTCATAGCATGCTAGTTGTGTAAATTGATGTGCTCTTTAGGTGTTTGATTAAATGCCTAGGTGAATACAAGTATGTTAGTTGAGTTAATTATCTTACATAACATGCTTGAGATCGTGTTAAAATGTCATTATATTGTATTCATTATGTAATAGACATTGTATTTCATTATGCATGGGTTGCACTACATTCATGGGCATTGACATGGGTGAGAGTGTATGCATGGTATGAAATCAATCACCACGTAGGTGGTTGAACGTGGACTCGGAAAAGTTGCACCAAGGTTCGGTTGAGTCGCACTGGAAATTAAATGGATAAATGTGTTGGAGACAGCAAGAAGGGCTAGATTCTCCCTCGGGTGCAAGACCCGCTTACTTGTTTTATACACTTTCCGGCGGTGAAATTCCAGAAAAGTGTAACGGCGGAAACGGAGCCGCAGGTGGGATGTCCTGAAGATCCGTTGATGGTTAGTGTCCCATTGGTGTAATACCATAAATCACCTCCCCACAAAGACACAAGAAAATGAATTAATTAGTCATTGAGTGTACATAATACCAATAATGGGGGCTTGGAATGCTCGGGTACATACGCATGACATTGCATGTGTTATGGGAGTTCAGGATGGGGCTCGGGGTTGGTATTGCTTGCGTGAGTCTCATCTCATGGCATGACATAATCTATAACATTCAATCATAATAGATATATTTAAATGAATGTATCAAATGATTGTTGCATGTGACATTTCATATGCATTTAGGTTGAGAGGTATTCTCTATAGGAGTTACCCTATTGAGCGTTGGCTCACCCTTTATGGGAATATTTTTCAGGTATCGCACAGACGTCCACCGAAGGTGAGGCCATGGGCCCGCTTTGACGACAGAGCCGGTCTGTGGCTTTTATTTTGACATTGTAGTCCCTTGTTTATACTTACTTTTGGCCTTGTATAATTTTTGTAACAAACATTTGTTTATATTTACAAAGACATGTATATGGGACTTTTTTTGGGACATTTATTCTTTTACGAATAAATGTATGTACTGATAATGATTATGGTAGTATTCGAGACTATACAATTGTGAATGGATAGATAGACCCGGTGTGGTCAATATTGTACAGGTTGCGTTTTGAGTAGAGCTCCTTGTACAAAGGAGACTCTGTCCAAATTTTGTTAAGTTATGGATCCCAAGAAATGGGACATAACGGTGTGGTATCAAATTACACGATATCCACCAGTATTACACAGGTCGATGGATAATCAATCGGATAATTACAGACACCCGGACTTTGGGGTGTCACAAATCTAGCACTGTTTATCCTGTCTTGCATCCGCGAATGAATAAACCTATAGCCAAGTTGATCCTTCAATATACCATGTAAGATGTATACTCTTACTTTAGTTGCTGGAGAATCTGATGGCTCTGCAGTATTGCTCTCTTCCATCCTTTTTATCACCTATTTTATCTCCAATAATTAAATTTCTTCCAATTCATGAAATGTATCAAATGCTCAGACATAAAAATTACTTGCGCAATGGTTATAGTGTTTATCTATCTGCAAAAATTATTCTTTTTAGCTAGGCCAAGTTTTGTCAAATTACATTCCATTGACATGCCCAACAGTTTGCTTAATACCTAATGACTCTATAACGAACAAAAAGTAGCACAATGCATGAGGCTCTCACCACTGTGGAGGTTTGAGAAGGGTCAGATAGATTCCCGCAATCTTACACTCCATGAGGAGAGAAAACAAGGGGCAACCCATTGCAAGTGACTCCCCGTCACAGCTGGGTTTGGGAGGGGCCATGCTTTTTGAAAAAGGAAGTTTCACTTGAAAATGCTATTACTAGAACGTATTGATTTGCATCGTGGCATCTCTTGTCATTTAGATATCAAAATATGATTGTTAGAAGTTGCTAGGAAACCTTCATCATGCTGAAAGAAAGTCAAAAATAGCAATTTAAGAAACCTGTTCTGGTCAGTTGATATTGTTTACACCAGCGTTAATTTTTTTGGCTCAGTTTCTCGACATGGAAACCTTGTTATTCCTTGAATCCAGCTTATTGGATTGCGCTTAGCGATGTAAATTTCTTCAAGTCTAGAGACTGACTTGTGAGGTGGAAGAGCTATAGCCTCTATGATTGACAATATTTCTTACTTTCGTTAGGCTTGTGTAAATAAACCTGTTCCTTTAGACGTATGTAAATCAACCTATGCTTTTGTTAATCTGTGCCTTCTTCCCATTATGATTTTAATTTGTGGGTTGTCCCTTTCTTTCTGCTGATACAGTCTGTGACAGAGCCTTGGCAATTTGATTCGGTTTCTTGACTCTTCCTATTTTGTGCGACAGGTGTCTGTAGTGGAAGCACAATTGGAGTATGCTATGGCAGAAATGCTGATGACCTTCCCACCCCTGATAAAGTAGCACAGCTGGTTCAACTTCACAAGATTAAATACATAAGGGTATATGACTCCAATATCCAGGTTATCAAGGCCTTTGCAAACACAGGAGTGGAGCTCATGATTGGGATTTCAAATTTAGACTTGTTGCCATTCTCTCAGTTCCAGTCCAATGCTGACACCTGGTTAAAAAACAGCATCCTCCCCTACTATCCGGCTACAAAGATCACATACGTAACTGTAGGAGCTGAAGTCACAGAAATCCCTGATAATGTCTCTGCCCTAGTAGTACCTGCCATGCAAAATGTTCACACAGCTCTGAGAAAAGCTGGTTTGCATAGGAAGATCAAAGTCTCTAGTACCCATTCCCTAGGCATTTTGTCCCGATCGTTCCCACCTTCTGCAGGAGCTTTTAATAGTAGCCATGCATTCTTTCTGAGACCCCTGTTGGAATTTCTTGCTGATAACCAGTCACCCTTCATGGTTGATATATATCCTTACTATGCTTATAGAGATTCCTCAAATAATGTCTCCTTAGATTATGCTCTGTTTGAATCATCCTCTGAAGTTATTGACCCGAATACTGGTTTGCTTTACACAAACATGTTTGATGCCCAGATAGATGCTATTTACTTTGCTTTGATGGCTCTACATTTCAGGACAATTAGAGTCATGGTCACTGAAACGGGCTGGCCTTCAAAAGGGTCAGCCAAGGAGACAGCCGCAACTCCAGACAACGCCCAGACTTACAATACCAATCTGATTCGCCATGTTATCAATAATACTGGCACCCCGGCAAAGCCCGGAGAGGAGCTAGATGTGTATGTGTTTTCGTTGTTTAACGAGAACAGGAAGCCTGGTTTGGAATCTGAGAGGAACTGGGGGTTGTTTTATCCTGATCAGACAAGTGTCTACAGCCTTGATTTCACTGGAAGAGGTGCTGTGGACATGACCACGGGAGCAAATATCACGAGTTCAAATGGAACTTGGTGCATTGCTTCATCAACTGCTTCTGAAGCTGACTTAAAGAATGCCCTGGATTGGGCTTGTGGTACCGGGAATGTGGACTGTTCTGCTATTCAGCCTAGCCAGCCTTGTTTTCAGCCAGATAGTCTATTATCACATGCATCTTATGCATTCAACAGTTATTATCAGCAAAATGGAGCTACTGATGTTGCTTGCAGCTTTGGAGGAACTGGGGTTAGATCAAATAAGAACCCCAGTAAGTTCCTAGGTCCAATCTTTTCTTTATGGTATTATTGTCTTTTCTCAGTTTGCTTCCTTCCAAATTCCCAAACCAAGATGTATTAAAGACTATAGGATACAATGACTTGAGTGGTCCCTGCACCTCAAGTCAATGGTGCACAGATGTGAAAACGCACTTACGCGAAATGATGGATTCAGCTTGCTTATTATGTAAGACTGATCCAGCATTTCCCAATTCTGTTTATCTGATGTGGAAGAATGACACCCACAATGACAAATTATGCTTTTGTACAGAACGTTATTATTTCTCGTTTCGATGATTTCTTTGTATTGGCTTGTGCAGGCTATGACAAGTGTTTGTATATGACATCAGGGTATGTTTATCATCTAATGCTATATAGTATTTCCAATTTTAAGGATTTGTTTTTGTCCTCCTGTTAACACATTATTTGATCTGGATTTGGTACATAAATTTTGCAGGAGCAACAAAACTGCTGCAAGTAATGTTACGGCAAATCCTTCAAAGTCTGCTTCTTCAAATATGAATGTCTCTATGTGGTTATCTAGTTGCCTACTGTTGACTTTTCTCTCATTCTTTTGAATCCAGTCAGTGTCCAGAAGGAACTCAATTTTGGTAGTGGTGGTATCTTTGGAGAAGCAAAAAGGTTATTTCCATAGGAATTTTTTTGAGTTGCATGAAAGGGATGTGCTCCTCCTCCTCCTCCCCCCCTCCCCCCCCCCCCCCCCCCAAAAAAAAAAAAAAGAACTCCTGTTTTGTTTGATAGGACGATAGTCTTAGGTGAACAATCTTTTAGAATTATTTGTATATCTGTGCACAGATTGAAACCAGCAAAGGTACTCTGTTGTGGTTTAATTGATGTATACCATTTTGAAGTGGGAGAAATTACGACTTTGTTGGGGATTCAATTGCGATTTGTCAGCATACATCGGTAACAAATGAGATTGTCATACTGGTGATTTTGGACCAAAGTGTTATCAGCCATTAGTTACTGCAGTTTCCTTAATCAAAAACGTTGGATGAAGCCTTGGTGACCGAAGTGTACAAATTATACTTTTGTACAGAAGGTTTAAATCTACCAAAATCTACTAGAGAAACGACGGAGATTGAAGGATATATACTTTCGAACTGCTAAGTTTTGAGTTGTTCATCTTTCACATATGCATTATTTTGTAGTAACATTTGAAATATTTATGGGCAATATACATTACAGCCAAGCTGACACAAGTTGAGTTAGAAATGTGATTAGATTCAATATACTTTGTATTTTGAACAAGTCAAAACTAAGTCGAATTCAAATTGCTTGGGTGTGAGCACAAACAATTGCATTAGGAGGTGGCAATGGCAAAGATCGAGCATAAGCCACCCTGCCACACACTTAGATGGATTGAAATTCTCTTCATTACTCTTTCACTCGATGATATCACCTATTGTGAATGAGTGAGGGATCCACCTATAAAGCATATCACTTAAATTTATGATAGATGATCTACTATTGAGTAAAATTTAATAAAAGTGTAATTGAGAGAATCTCAATTTTTTCTAACCAAGAAACAAATAGAACACAAACTTACACAAAAATTAATATCGAACCACGTACTTCGGTAATTGAAGATGTCTAACTATTTAGATGTCCATACAAGAACCACTCAAACTAGACAAACTGCCTCGTTAGAAATCACCATAAGATTATTCATAAGAAGAGTACAAAGACAATAGAGTTGAACTCGTGAAGAGTTCATTTTACAAAGAGGGTTTATCTCTAAAGGCTGAGATGGACAAAAAAAAGTGTGATCAAGCCTATTAATGACCATGTATGTTGATTCATACTGAGTTAATTTACACGTACTCTATTCACATTTTGTTATTGAACTCAATCTAACTAGAAGGGTTATTAACGTAAATTCTCAAATAGTGCATATGATGTGTTCAGCAATGCATAACTCAGCCCCTGATATAAAGTAGAAGGCCACAACACAGTTTCAACGTGCATTAAAGTGCAAACCAATATCCGTGATATCAAGATCAAAAAGAGGACGAAAAAGATGTCGCGATGCAAGTTTATTATTCCTTGCATTATAGGTGGTTTTGCGTTTTGAGGTCCTAATTGCCATGGTTCCGCTACATCAAAAGGCGCAATTGTGAGGAATAGTCATTTTAGAACCAAGTGTGAAGTTAGGATTTTTGTTTATTTCGAACTAAACTAATCATTCATACGACTAACAAAATATAAATATTTTTTAATATATTATGTGACCCAAAAATTTTGTTTTTTAATTGTGGCCCAAAAATTTTATTTTTTTAATGTTTGGCCAAAAGTTTTTGTAATAGGTTTGGATAGATTTTAATAAGTTTAGATAGATAATATTGGGTTCAAATTTTTTTGTTTTAAATTGGTTAAATTTTTTAATCTTTTTGGATAAATAATGTAGATCTAATACAAATGAGGGGAGCGCACATAATAAATTGTATAAATATATAATACATATACCTTATTAATAATTTTTTTTTGAGGGGGCACTTGCCCACCCTAGCCCAGATGTCTCTCTGCCCCTACGTAATCCCGTCTTTGTTCTGATCAAAATAGGAATAGAAAACCTTGAAAAACTTTTTCTTTTCATGATTATTGGGGCTAAAGCTTTAAGAGCTTCGAAAAATTGGGCTAATAATTAGTGATTTAGTGAGCTGATACTAGTAGCCTTGTATAAAAGTGGTAATTTTTTTTGGAAAATTTGGAGACTGGTCCTCCTATATAGACTTGCTTTGACTTAAGTCCGTTAAAGAAACTTATTTGTTATGAAGTCCATTTTTGGTCAATTTTACCATGCTATCCCTTAGAAGTGAAATAAAACTAAAAATTATAAACTCCTAAATCTTAGGAGTTTGACTAACATTAAATTTTTTTTCTCTCATATCTATCTATATCCATATATAAATTAAAAGTTTAACTAACATTAAAATTTTCTCTCTCTCTTATCTATCTATATATAGGTTATATATATATATATAGTAACATTAAAAATAAAAAAAAGTAACATTCAAATACAAAAAAAAAAATTATTATTTGGACACAAAAAATAATACATATAAACACAAAAAAATAGTAACATTTAAACATAAAAAATGAAGTCAATATTAATATTTTTAAAAAATAACAACAGTAACATGTTCAGCAAAAATATTAACATGTTCAACAAAAATAATAACATGTTTAACAAAAACTGTAACATATTTAACAATAATTATTTCTCTCAAATTTAAACGTACAAAATAGTATCATTCAAATACAAAAAATAGTAATATTCAAAAAAAAAATAGTAACATTGAATATTAATATTAGAAAAACAATAGTAGTAACATGATCAACAAAAACAATAACATACTCAAAAATAATAGTACATGAACAGTAACATACTCAACAAAAGCAGTAATATAATAAAAAAAATAATAACATGAATTTGACTTTTACTATTCAAATTCATAGTAACTTTTTTTTTGTATTTAAATGTTACTATTTTTTTTAATGTTATTATATATATAATCTACATATGGATATAGATAGATAAGAGAGAGAAAAAATTTTAATATTAGTCAAACTCTTAAATTATATATGGATATAGATAGATATGAGAAAGAAAATATTAACTTCTTTTCAAGGAAGGGTATTTTTGAGATAAAAAAAATGCATTTAAGTCATTACATATAATTTTAAGAGGTTTTTGGAAGCCGGTACACCTAATTAGACTCATTTGATAAAAAATACATATTAAAAAATATTTTAGAAAAAAATACACTAGTTAGTTACAAAGACATAAATGTCTATTTTAGGGAAAGTGGTGCATTAAATATACCCTAGTTTTATGAGAGAACTTTAATATTTTATGCACATTGATTCATGTGTATTTGTTAATATATATATATATATATATATACAAACAAGTATATATAAATACGTATAAACAAATATATATATATACATATACAAGTATGTATATATGTGTAAAGTGTAACATTAAAAGTGTAAAGTATAAAATATTACCTTATGTCTCACCTTACTTAATGAAAAGTGTAAAATGTTACATGTTAACATTGAAAGTGTAACACTTTCACACTTTCTCAAGTAATTAACATTTTTAGTGTAAGATGAGACAGATATATTCTATTTGTGTAACACTTTAGGTAATGTCTTCCATTACTTTGTGTAAATAGTTTGTTACATTGTTATTGCTACACTGTTATTATTACTTTCAATACTACCCTATAACACTTTACACTTCAATCTTACCTTTTACACTTTCAATGTTACACTTTACACGTGTATATATATATATATATATATATACATTAAATACTAAGGTGCATTAAATACTAACGTTCTCCTATAAAATTAGGAGATATTTAATGCACCACTTTTCAAAGAAAATACACATGGATCAATGGAGGACAAAAATGTCACAAAAAAATTAGGCAAATTCAAATTATGTACTTAGATACAAATAAGTATTAAAATTAAAGACTTAATAACCCTACATTTTTAGTGTGTATTTTTTGTCAAATAAGTTTAATTTGGTGTACCCCTTACAATTTACCCTAATTTTGAATATGGACTTAGTCCCTTATAAGTTTCCTTGCAAGATTTATCTCTAAAGAAATACATCTAGGGGGACTCACTTCCAATTTTTACATTTTTTTTTTAACTCTGGACTTTAGTCCACCGTAACCCACTAATATCTCCGCCCCTGCTTAGAACAATCATTTGATTTTATTCTTTCTTTGACTATTGTGCTCTCCCAAAAAAAGAGAGGTTTATTTTACTCTCCCAATTTAGGAAGTCGGGAATCCACGAAGGTTAATGTCATTAAGGCTGTTAAACGAGTCAACTTTGAATATTTTTTTAGGTTTGTTTATGTGTAAATAGTCGAACCATTTGACTCGAATTCAGCTCGATTATCGCTCCTAAATACCATAAGCCGCGCAAGACTAAAGTAAAAGAAGATCGGTCTTAGTCCACTCGAAAAGCTTGAGCTCATCATAGAGGGCCGAACGGAGTATCCACCACATCAAGGAAGCCCCAGTATCATGAATACAAACTGTAGATAGTAGATACCCTTTCTAGTTTGTGTCCACACATTTGAGCACAACACAAGCACATACTTTCAAGCAAATAATCAGTCAAAGATCGGATGCGGGTTCACCATCACCTTCTTGCCTAGAATGGAAGGACCTAACTCGGCCTTAATAACACTGTATTTTGTGCCATCGAGTGAGAAGCCAGTTGAAGTAATGAGAGCAGGATCACCAAAGCCGCTCATGATGGCAGCTATTTCTTCAAGTTCGATCTAGGATAACATCGAGATAAAAGCAACTATTCAGGACAGGAACATGTACATCAAAGAGACAAGCAATGGAAGAATCCAATTGACCAGAAGAAGATGAATAAAAACATAAGATGGACATTGCATTAAAAAAATGCAGGTTAAGTATGGAAGAATAAAATTCTAACATTTATTTGCATAAATCTCACTCCAATAATTCATTTGTTTTGCCCAAAATTCAAATTGATTAGAAGAACAAGATGCATAAAAATGACCACTGAGTGTTGTAGTTCGGTGAGATACCGGCCGAATTTTTCACCCTGAAGTTAAAAATTCGAGTATTAGAGTTTACATTAAGGTTCGATAATTAACTATTATGCTAGCTAGCTAAGTTCGTTCCTGAGGAGTAACAAGCACGGTCATGAGTCTCATAATCCCACCAAGCCTATCGGAGTAGTTTCTAGGCAGGCGCGCTCTCTTTTGGCCTCACCCCTTTTTCAAAAAAGAAAATGCATAAAAATGTAATGCTAAAAATCTTCCTTCTGTATGGACTTTTTAGCATTTTCAATTCTACCCCTTTGCACTCTTCCAATTCCCAAAACAAATGAGGGAAGAAGATGATGCCTCAACTCAACAAGGTTTTCTTATCTTTAATGAATATAATATATATATAAATATATATATATATATAAAATAAATTAGATCGGTGTTTAAACTTATGAGGGTATATTCCCCCCTCCCAAATTTCACACATCCAACACACTTTTCCTCCCAAATTTTAAAAACTCAACACACACTCCACAACACACAGCTGCACATACATATACACATTCCAACACACACACATTTCAATGCATGCATAATATAATAATTCAGTATACAGTGACTTTAGTCACGGAATATCGCTAGTATATATATATTGGTCATATATATAGTTGTTACAAATACAAAGTGATTTCTACTTTTTTTTTTAGTTCAATTGTTAGAGATGTTCGGGTCAGTTGACGCGCGCCTCGACTAATCTTTTTTTTGATCCAGTCAAAAAAAAATTATCCACGCTGAGATTAAGGTATTCATGAGGGATAAATTTTTTATGACCTGACCCCAAAAAATTATTAAAATTCAAATTCAAAACGTCTAAATTTATCACTAATCTCTATTATCATTTGAACTGTATTGGGATTCAATCTCTTTTACTTCCCACAAACTAGTTGGAGTCGTATACATATCTCCTGGTGGAAGCATTTCTATGTACGCGTGAATTCAATTCTATTGAAACTCATCATCACATGTATTAAGATTATGGTATCAGTCATTGATTCAAAAAATTTTGAGACAAATTGATCGTGACGTGGTATCAAGCGATATGACCTAAAATAAAAATTTTGAAACTGGATGACTCATGATTGACTCGGATACAACTTGAACGACTTGACTGAGTCATACAAAACTCAAGGTTTATTCGTATCGTGTATCGGTATTATAATAGAATAAATTTTAATCAACTCAAAAGTAAATTTTTATCGGTGCTGATAACTCGGGTAGAGTTCAAAACAACTCAAATTTTAATACGTAAAAAATAAATTTTAATAAACTCGAATTTTAATACGTTAAAAAAAATAAAATTTAATCAGCTTCAATCGAATTTTAATTGGTTCAAATTTTAATATGTAGAAATTTTTTTTTAATCAAGTCGAATTTTAATAAAATTTTATGTAGGGATATTTTTGATATTTTAGATGAATTTTTTTTTGTTAGAAATGGTAATTTAATAATAGGGGGGGTTAGTGATGTTTAAATATAAACTAGAAGGGGTGTTCTTGAAAATATAGTAAACTAGAAGGGGTGTGATTAAGATTTTTCCTTCTTTTGTATGTTTTATAATTTTCATTGAACAAGCTACAGAATTTACAAAAGGGTTGATTACAAATTGTCCTTCAACTTTAGGAGTAAATATTTAATGTAACGGTATCATCATGTCATCACTGTCACTTAGTGTCACCATCCAATTAGAGTATTTTCAACAATAGTAGCTATTTTAACTACCCAAAAAGTAATTTTTTTCGTATTTTAGCTACTCATTTTTTTAATACACACTCCAACAAATTCTCTATATTTTTAATTACTTCTTTTAAATATTATTTATTATCCCTTTTGTATTATATTTTTTGGAAATAGTGAAAGGGAGAATGAAAGAGAATGAAAGAAATAAGAGAAAGAGAGAGAAAATAATATATATTATGTTTACATATTGCTATAGTGATGCTCTATATTTAGAACATAACTGTAGCAAAAATCTATTTTACAGTATATGAATATAATCTGTTGGAGTGCTATTTTTTACTTTGGGTAGCTAAAATTTGCTTATTTTGAATATTTGAAGCATCTATTGAAAATGCTCTTAGAAGACTACAAATAGATAAAATGAACCATACTATTTTCATAACTACTAATAACTATTACATCCAATCAGTAACATATAGAATTAGTGAGATACACTTTATCTATTTGTTGTCTTCTAATTTGTTCTTGACACCATTTGGTAGTGATGACATGATGTCACCCTTGCAATGAATATTTTCTCCAACTTTAGGTGATGATGAAATCAACTTCTCCAAGTTTTAATTTCAATAAATTGCCTCAAGACTATTAAATTTTTTTCAATTAATTCGTCTCATTAGTTTTTGTGAATTAAACGTGATGGCCTTAAATTGAGATGATCTATTTATTTATTTATTTATTTGGAAAATATGAAATTACCCTTTTATTACAATTTTCTATTTAGGGTCAAATTTTTTCTTATTTTCCAAAAAAGTGAGGAGAAAATATTTAATATAACCGTCACTGTTTAATAACAAAGCTATATGAAATCACATGAATCCCACTACCCAATCCATATAAGAAAAATAACCAAAAAAAAACATATAAGAAAATAACTACTATGCAAAGAGTTGGGGTTCATCTTGCTTACTAAGTTTGTTATTGAATGATAACTCTTCACAAGACAATGATGACATGATATCACCGTCTCTCATCATCTATGATCGTGTGACCGGACTCACCCTCTCTCTCTCTCTCTCTCTCTCACTCACGCACACAAACTCACACATACACAGTGACAGCTGTATCTTTTCTTTAATTATATTCTATTTCATTAGCCATGGACATATATATTCGTATAAAAATTGATACTTCAATGCCAACACAAATAAAAAGTAGAGAAACCGCCCATGGTTTATACATAATAAACATAGACCGAGAATAAATGATGCAATGCAATCAAAATGACCCTAAAGCACTAACTGCTGTAAGGGCCTTGCATGGTTATTGGCTACAACGAATCCATGTCTAGTTCATGGCTTTGGAGGAAGTGGTATAAACTTAGAAGCAGAAACGAGGAAGAAAATTAACATCTCCTAGGAAGAGGTACTATATATAGAATCATGACAGGCCGAGGCCTACAGACCCTGATCAACAAGGTAATCTCCCAACCTCTCAACAACCATGTTGCACTGTCCAGGGGTCACAGGCTCCTCATAGAGGCCGAACACTAGAGCTTGACTAGTCTTCTTAATAGTGACACCTCCCGATCCCTGCCAAACCAACACAAGACCTTATATTATTAACAAGCCACAGCTCATGGCACAAAAATAAATAGTCATTTCAGCCAACACGAATCTCTGTATTTCTCCAATGTTAAACTGAAAGATATTATATAAAGTTAACTAGGAAAGGGCCAGGAACTTGAATTCGAATCCCCCATTTGTTGTTCTCACGAAAAATGGTAACAAGGTGATCCACCATTTGTGCATTGGTCCAGTGAGAATAATAAATTTGAAAAATGGCTGCTTGTGTGCTAGACCACATCTTACCAGATGCACCAACAAAATTCAAGCCACTTCCATTGGCTCAAGGGGAACAAATTTAGTGCCAGGAGACTTTTGCGCACACACACACACACAGATTCTATGCGTGGTTGTCCAGATTCTATGTATGTAATTGTGGGACAATAACACACTTCCATAAAGGGAAGCTTTGTCAAAATCCCATGTGTATATAAAAGGATCAATATCAAACTGCATGCACAAATATCTTTAGATTTATGATTACAAGAGCACTATGCATGAATCCTAGTGGCAGAGAAGGATTCATCCAATCGCAAGAAAATACTTGGCTAGAAACTTTATTGAGTTAAGCTATGTGCATTATCAAAATGGGGGAATTATTATGCATAAGAAAGATGTTGAGGAACATAAAGAACATTAACAGGACCTTTTTCCCACGAATGACAGCTCCAGGCTCTCCTTGGATTACCATATACTTTACCCCGCCAAGGTGTAAGCCTGTAGGGGCAAGGTGACCTGGTTCATTGAAATCAGTTATGATGCCATTGATCTCCTCAGGCTTAAACTGCATCCAGAAAAAGAAACCAAACAGAGTGACAATAATTAGTCAAAGTTAGCAATTAAAATTGAAATATACCAGATGGCATTGATATAACCATGCTCTGATATAATCATCTTAATAGTTTCAAAACATATTAAAAAGGGCAAATATCCCTTTAACCTTTCTCCCTGTTGAGAGACAGAGAGAGAGAGTGTATAACAGCAAAGCTATAAGATTTTGTTTACTGAAAGAGAAAGAAATCCAGTGAAGGTGGTAATAAAATTCCTGATTGACAGAAACTATGAACGCAGTTGAAACGAATTCTATTGATTCATTAGGCGAGATGGCAGAATGAACCATGGACCAATTCATTTATTCTAATAGGTCATGGGTCCATTTATAGGGACGTTGAGGAAATACACAAACTCCATCCATTCACTCATACAATGCAAACTCCACATAATAAAAACAAATATCTATAATGGATGCAGCCATACTATTCATTTTCACATTCAAACAAGGCAATTAAAAGGAAGAACAGTTTCCCGAAATCATCAATGCGCAAGAATCAATACAATCCAATTCAAGCATCCATTTTTATTATTATTTTTCCAAATAATTCTATTCTTCCACTCAATCGGCGACATAGTCAAACAAAGACAAAATGATCATACAACCGCATTGTCATTCAGTCGCGAATCAAGCCAATAAAATACACAAATAATCCTAACAAACGATTCAATATGTGCGGAACATAGAACTCGATCGCAACAAATTTCTCAACGAAACAACCAAATCAGAATGAATTCACACTATTGTAAAAGATCACATCAAATGTATGGTATCCATTTCACAGATCGAAGCGATAGAAATATAATCAACAACATAATCCCGAATACATACATATATATGTGTGTGTGTGTGTGTGTGTGTGTGTAGAGAGAGAGACCTGAGGGAAGGAAGAGCTCTGAGCCCAGACACTGCCGTCCTGGCCGATGATGGCAGCGGCGGAGAGATGCAGGCCTAGGCCGTCTATGTCACACAACAAGTGGTCGTCGACGTACGCTTGCCACGACATTCTCTCTATCTCTCTTTCTCTCCGATGCAATGTCTGTACCTTTTCTGTGTGTGGTGGTTTTGCTGTGTTCCTTCTTCCTTTCCTTCTTCTTTGGTTTCTGTTTTTTGAAAGGAGGAGGAGCTGATTGGATGAATGAATAATGGTGATGATGCTCTCTGGACCGTTCGTTCAACCCGATTAAATTAGCGCCATTCAAGGCTCCGCCTTTATTTAAGGACATAACATAACGGAGTCTTCGTAGAAATTAGAGTAAATTTGGTATATGTCACTTAAATTATGAATTTTCCATCAATTAAGTTCTTAAATTTTTTTATATCAATTAATTCTTTATGCTCCGTTTGGTACAATCGAAAAGTGAGAGGATGAAAAATTATAAGGATGAAAACTTAAATTAACTCATTTAACTAATTTGTGTCAATTGAATATTTTTGTCTACATTTGTTAGAATGTTCTACTCATGTGACTATATGACAAAAAAAAAAAAGTTTAATTGATACAATTAAAAAATTTATAGGCTTAATTGAAACAAAAAAAAAATTCATAAACTTAATTAATATAAAAATCGTAATTTAAAGGTCATATGTGTAATTTATTCTAACGGTGTATGTCACAGTGAGCCATCACTCTCTCTGACAAAAGCTCTTGATACAATTAATAAGAACTCAATTGACACAAAAAAAAAAAATCAATAACTTAATTAACAAAGATTGTATATTGAAGGTTATATGTATAATTTGTTCTTTTTGTTGCTTTTACTCATGGCAATGAGTACTTAGATTTTAGAGCAATGTCCATATTTATTCCCGAGTTTAATAAACAGATTTAATTTTTATAAAATTATGTGCATCCAAAAGTTGCATTGTAATCATAAGTTAAAGGATAGATAACAGAATTTATATATATATATAAAAAAAAAAAACAATGAATAACTCTATACTTAATAGAGCTATTAATTTCCACTCATTGGTTATCATTGTACAGCATAAATGATGATTGTCAACGTATTTTCTCACGATAGTCCTCATGCACGCCGCAGAGAATTGGAATAGCTGCACCTGCATCGTTATTACATTTGACCCAACGTGGGAGATTGCAAACAAAATGAAATGCCTCTACAAATTGTTCTGACATAAAATAATCTGCTTGTTCAGACATTTTCCTCTTCAGTTCTTGGCTGGTAAAATTTCCTCAGAAAAATCAGAATATAACGTTTTAACAATGTCGAGATGGCAAAGGAGAGAAAAAACATCTACTTCAGCCACTACAATAACAAAATGGGGCATTCAATCTACAGTGCCATCCCCAGAAAATTTGCTTCTATTGTTAGCAGCATTGTCTAGAATCTCTGAATCCCGCACTGGAGCGACAACAGCAGTGTCATCCACCAACACGATAAGATCTTCCTCTGAAAGCTGCCCCAGTAGCCCTGTCAGGCTGTGCATGATTGATCATTGGAGCTCCTATTCCCCACCTTGCAACTAGCTTATGTCTGTAATGGCGGTTAAGAAAATTTAAAACTTCCAGCAAGTGGAGCATCAGCTGATAATTCTACTTCCACGAAAAATAGAAAGGCAGGTGTTAGAAGCCCCCCCGAAGAGAGATTCATAATGGTGTTTCAATAAGCAAAGCAGCCAAAATTTTCGAAAAGCAACATGTGCATGTCATCCTGAGAAAAAGGCAAAAGGATACACCCACATTGGCGTTTTTAGTCTGTTCTTTCCACCAGCAAGCGGATGCAACACGCTTAAAAAGTAATAGAGGTGTCCAGCAATGATTCCCAACAGATCTGGCATAATTGGTGAGCCAAAAATTACATCCAAAGCAAGCATGGCCCATGGTAAATAGAATGCCTGCAAGTTAGAAAACAAGCATGTAGCATGTATCAGATATTATGCCCCCAAACCCAGAGAGCCTAAATACAAATGCAAACACCACTTCCATTAGATTTCAGACTCAAAAAAGAAAAAAAGAAAAAGAGGATCAACATACCTTAAGGGTCACAAGGCCATATATGTTGATATTGGCATTTGGAAATTCTCTACTCCATACATAGAGAAGCATGAAAACCATTGATATCCCCAAAAAGGCAGACTGGAACCAGGGGATGGCTGATAATACCTAAGTATGCAAGTGGGACAATCAACCAAATAGAAATGTCTAAAAATCAGAAAGTCACTTGAGTGAGAGGACTGCTCAAGCTCAGGTCATGCTGCACCGTACTTTGAGGAGGAGGAAAAGAGGAGAGACAAGGAGAGGAGGGAAGAAAAAAAATGGGGGGGCAGATACATTGTAGAATAAAACTTTGAAAAGTCGCTGATCACATGACCTTCGGACGGTCCACCGACTCCACCCCATAGAGTGTGGCATCTATCAATCTATTTACAGCAACAAGATCACTTGTAAAGAACAAACCACAAAGCAGAACAAGAGAAAAGATAATCTCACACACCAATAAGGACATGGCACCAAATATGATCATCCACAAGAAATCTGCTGTACGTCTTTGAAACGGTCCAGTCTCCAGTTGGACTCCATATCTTGCTCTGTAACATCAAGAAGAAACAAGAGTAAGACCATACGAACCTTAACTCCCATGTTGTGTTTCACAATAATATTTTCCATAGAGTGTTCTGGTGTTCAAACCAACACCTCACTGGTGTTGATCAAAATTTTTGGCAATAGTTGATTCATTTTCTTCTCTCTTGAAATAAGTTTTACGGAGCACTTACATCATCAAGAGGCGAATCCCAAAATTGATAGAGAATGGGCCAAGGAAAAAGAAGTTTGTAATCAGCCTCCACAGCTAAAAATGAAAATGAAGTCACCAAAATGTTACTAAGAAATGTGAGAACAATGCATTTCAATAAGTAAAAAGAGTTTGTGAATTGAACACAAAATATAAATTTAAAGAGTAACCACATCATCAATTTCCCACTACTGTGTGAATGTGTATTTGTGTCTGTGTCTGTGTGTCAGAGAGAGAGTCAGATTGTGCCTTTATTTGTACAGATATTGAGTTGGTCTAATAAGGAGCAGACTAATATGCAGCCTTTAAACCACATATGCAAGTGAAATTACAGTTAGGCATGGGAATGGAGTTTATACTACTACAAGCACTAAATTTCGTTCAAAATGACACATATGTTCCCCTTAGATTTTTTCGTTTTCTTTAAATTTAGATAAACCATGCATTTTCAACGGGATGAATTGACCGGTCCAAAGTTATATCTTTGAAGTTAAGTGAAAAGAAGGGTGGAGCTCATGGTTCAAGGTTGCGATATTGATTGTCAACTCAAAGGACACTAATACACATCTGTCACTGCGTCCCGGTGTGGTATTAGCCGATAGGCACAAAAAACTAGATAGAAAGCCCAAAATTTTTTTAAAAAATCATGAAAATTCTAAAAAATATAAACAACATCCATGCATTATCAATCCAAACATAGTGAAAATAAAATATAAGGTCGCTACAAGAAATATTTATCTTTTTCAGTGTTTGAATTTTGTATTTCTATCTAATGTAATTTTCACATTTAGTATTAATTATTCAAAAATTAAGAAATACAATATACAATTATATAGTTTTTTATGCTCCCAGAAGTAATGTTAAATCTAAATTTAATTTTTCTAATAAAATTTTTACATTTAGTTTTAAATATTAAAAAAATTAAAAAGTAAATTTATCCAATTATATAATCTTTTATGCACTTCAAAGTAATAAAAAAACCTACCAAAACTTCCCAAAAAAAAAACTTAAGAGATGACAAAAAATAAAAGAAATGGCCTTTAATACTAAATACACCGACAAAGACTGAGCGAGTGAGAAAGAAAGATCTCAGATGTTTCGTTCAAAGGATCACCTGCGACAGTCGATCACAGGGAAGTGGGCGTTACCAAAATTCATTAAACCCCTAATGACCTACGATCTAGGTATATCAATCTCAAATAGAGTGGGTTTGCAATCCAAATCACCAATATGCTATCCCAAATTATACGCGCAATACAAATATAAAATACATATTCATTAACTACGTATATATAGATTTTCACACCCTATAATATATAATTTTGTATAATGGTGAAAACGATCTAGATAAGAGTTTCAAAATGAATTATGATCCAAAATACCATACTAGTCTACTCGTACACAAAAATATCGTACTGCATACCCGTACCTATATCACGTACTAAAGTAATCCACAATCCAGGTAAACATTGAGTGGGAAGGAAGATCTAAGCACTGCTGCCTGCTTTTGTGTTGCCACTGCGAGAAAGATTTAGGAAGAAGAGAAAATGGGATTTTTTTGTCTTTGATTTTATAGTATGTCTTGCAAATATTTCAATTTTTCTTTTGTTTTTGTAATTGCAAAAAAAGGTGAATTTGGTTGTGATTTTTTACAACTTAAGGTTTGAAAAATGTGCAAGTGGGTCTAAGATCTTCTCCTCCATTTCTTTTTTTTATTTCCCTTTTCGATTTTGGAGATTTGTTGAAGATTCCACTAGAATCGGTCCCGGTTCGAGTCTGATGTGACTCATCCAATTTAAACGATATGAGTCCAAGTCAAACAAATGCTACTAAGTCGTTACCGATTCACTATCAGGTCATAGGTGTGCCAAGTAATAGGTGACTCGTGATATTTGTGTATCATGTTTCGATATCGAATTGGTCATAGCCGAGGAGGATTAGACTCTACTGATACCTTGAATCCTGGTGGAACTAGGATTGCAATTCCATCCTAGTGGGAAACATATATACTATCTCAGTCCTCTCGAAGATTAAGCAAATACATAGACCAAAATCCAAACGAGTTCATAAACTATACCCGTCAAATTTAAACCCAAATTTGACATTAGGGCGTCTTTGTGTTTTCCCAAATTAAGATAAAAGAATAAAAAGAATATGGATGTTGAAATGGGGAGTTAACCACCACCCACAATATATATTTTCCTTAAGAGCCTAGATTTTATACAACCAATAAGTGTTTCAGACAACATATTGTGTACAAGATGCTACACATATGCGATGATACCGAAATTTCCACTCTCATCCCAATCTAGGACCTAGGCAACCTAGGAGTATAAATTCTACAGAATCCATTTTCATCTTTCAGTGACTGGAAGCTAAAGATGTTCGCACAGGAAGAATTACATTAAGTGATTTCCCAAAACTCAAGGTTATGTGTGCTCATTCAAGGAAACCTGCCATGGCTACATTGAGGTAGATAATTGCTCATGCTAATCCGCAAGATTATTGCATAGTGACCCCCAAAACTTACTAGCCTTCATTCAAGCAACAGGGCAGCATAACTATTGTAGTGATGAAGTTTTTGTTTCATTGCATGCAAGAAAGAATAAACCCTCAAGTCTAGGAAAGTATGAAAATAGGCAACGAGTGCAAAACAGGAGAGAAAATAACAATATGTCATGAGAAACATGTGTGTAGCTCATGCTCAAGTCCACTGGAAAAATGGCTGGGTTTAGGTAGAACTCTAACACAAGATTTTAAATCAAAACTTCAAGTTGAACGTTCAGAAAAAAAGGAAGAGTAAAGGCATTCATCATACAATTCAACCAAAAACTGATATTCACGGTGAAGGAATCCATACCTGAAAATGGGAGAATACTAGCTTATAGATCAATGCAATAGTTTCAGGATCATAGAAGCCAAATTGATAGGCCGTAGTAGCGAACAAACATATGGTCCCATAAGCCTTGCTTATAGGAGGAAGCGAGTTATAGTATCTGAAACAAAAGAAAAAAGAATTGGAACATTGACTAGAGGTAAAACTCAATTGTTCCATCAGAAACAGATATGCATTATGATATATATGGGTGATTAACAATAAGCCTATAACCAATCCCCTTTGTTTATAGCATGAGACATACATATTGCAATACAAAATCATAAAGCAAACAAACAATTGTAGAAAATCCATATGAAGGGACAAAGACTTCTATCTGATGATAAAAAAAGCTTCAGTAAAAAAAAACAAATCTAGAAGAGTTAAGAATGAAAGAGATATTTATGTTGCCAGTATGCTTCCCATGTGGGACAAAATAGCTCCAATAAAATTACAGATTTCACATCTCAAATCCTCTCTCTCTCTCTCTCACACACACACACACACAAAAAAAAACACAGTTCACACACGCGGGAGTAGGCCAACCTTGGCCTTTTGTGTTTGAATTAGCTGGCCTAGGATAAGTGCAATGTCCGTCTGGTGTGCACACAACTTCCAAGCATAACAGGACAGTCAAACATACAAAAAGTAATGACTTCCATCTTCATTGGTGGCATAAAAAAAAAAAAATATTATAAATTACAGCATCAATAAAATTTGGTTTTCCAAGAACAACAATTTCCAAATCTTTCTATTTGATTTAATAATACAGAAGCACAATAGTAACTGTAGATTTTAATATCACATAAGCCCTGATATTCTATGAGACCACAAAGTTTCCGGATTTTCCACTCTATTTCAAACAAGGTTTGCCTCGAAACAACATCACTACACTGATGTCTCTCTATGCCTGGATGGTAAAACCAGTAGGTTATACTGCTTCTCCCATTTTTGCATCTTTTGCAATGTGACTTCAAAGAAAAAAGAAAACCCCATAATGTGACTTCAACTTAAACCTCCAATTTTCAAAAAAGAAAAAAGAAAACCCCATAATGTCCTACCTCTGTGGAATCATCATTATATTTTAACACAATTCCCCATTGGATTTCAGGAAGAAATTTATCACCACATCTACCACTCTCTTCTTGGATTCATGTCTTCAATACAACCCTCATCTCTAATGAAATTAAGTTCATTCAAGTGCTTTCTTCTCCACTCATTTATTCAATGTTTATGCATCCATTTCCACTCTTTAAACCTATTCTGTGATACCATTCAAACCTATTTTATGGACAAAGACTGCCACATACCAAACATTGTGAGTTGTACATCATCTTGTGAACTTACTTGGTAACAACCAACATCTTCAAAAACTTTCCTTATCCATCAAGCTTTTCAATTTCTTCTCATCAACTAGATGACACCAAAATCTTTTCATTCCATTATTATATTTCTCAAAGTAACGACCTATGTACTTTCTATTTCAAGGACCTTTCGAAGTGTCGCACTAGCTTTTCAATGAACTTAAATTCTACTTTCTAAAGGAAAAGGACACTCACAATGAATACAACCAAAGGTCCAAATCCACACATTTATATTTCCATCTTAAATCTCGTTCTTTAGTGTATTGCCTCAAGTTCCACCACCAAATTTCTGGATGCCAATTTCCACTACTCTCCTCTTCCATGACTACATACAGCTTTATACCACTAAATAGTAATATATGATATTGGCCATTTTAGTAAACTTAAAAATCTCACTCAAATCAATTTTCAATGTTATTCACTGCCCATAATTAGTGTAAGATAATCTGCGCGACATTACAAGCCATAGGATAGTGGAAAGTCTCACATCATGTTTCTTTCCTAGTCAATTTTTGCAAAGATTGAACTCAACCCCCTTTGTATCCTCTCAACATCCTCCCTTTGCTAATCCAAAATCCCCTCTTATGAAAATATTTGTCTCCAGTACAAACTCTATTAAATTGCCTTTACCCTGTAGTACTCACATCAAGTGTAGGCATTAAATAATCATGAGTATAGGAACACATACCTAGGACCCAAAGCTACCAAAATATAGTTTCAAACTCGGACAAACCCAACACTAAATACACCCAAAATTGAGGATCCGGCTCCTTTGCTGTTAATTATTAACAGCAAAGGTGTTGTTGATTAAAACAACAACAACATCTCTTCTGTTAGTTTTCTAACAGTAAAGGATCCTCACCCCAAAATCAATTAGACAAGTCCAGGCTATAAAGAATCCATTACATAACATGGGCTTCTATTAACTAAAATAATTCCACAGCCATAAAAAATCCAGCATATTCCAATCGCAAGCTCCCTCAATTGAACATGTAACCCTAGTGTATATGCCATGTTTACATTTTTCCCTATTATAAGTAACCTATTTTTCTAAATATTATCCCATCTCATAATGGATTCCCAAATTCGTTTCCTCTGCTCTACTAAATTTTGATCCCATTACTTCAATTTCCACAATTAGCTTCCTAACCCCGCTTTCTCTGGGTAATGGCCATAGCCAGACATCTCCAAAACAACTCACTCAGTTCAAGCTCTTACATATATTCAGCAAAGAAATCATATGTACACAATCACCAAATCTGGTTCAGATTTAAGCCCCAACAATTTCAAAAAAAGTTCAACCATTAAACAACCATCAATAATCAAACACTAGCAAAGCAGGACTCAAATTAACAAATGAAGCACAAATTAGCGCAGACCATCACAAGTCAGAACTACAGTAAATTAAAAAAAAATAAGAAGATGCAATATTACACTAAATTACAGTACGAATATTTATCTGGAAACAAAAGCACATAAATACATAGATTCAATTAAGAGGAGGAAATTACTCTGCAGGAGAAGACATTGCGAAGCAAGAGGCTTGATCTGAAACTCAATTTGAGATCTCTACTTACAAATTTATTATTATCTGAAGAAAAATAACTTAACGAGAAATAAAAGAGTGACGACGAACATGAAGAAGAGCAAAAACGTATCGAGAAAGAAAGCGAGTTGGTCACTAGAAACTTCGCGATACCTCCTCTCCGGAAAAATATTCAATACACGTCAGTATTCATATCATCAATTAATTATATATAAATAAATAAAAAATAAATCTAATACAAATTAATATTATCTATATAATACAAATAAAATAATTTTTTCTTATCGCGGTTAAAATCTATTTAAATTTTACCTTAAAATTAATCTGACAGTAAATATTAATATTTCAAATTTAATAAAAAAAAATAGCCCCTAAGGATGTGCTTGAAGTATTTTTTTAAATATTTCTAAAACTTATAAATTTTCATAAATTTTATAAAAAAAATTGTAATATTTGAAATTACTCCACCACTATCATTATTATCACCACCGTTGTTACTCTCCCTCACCATGACCTCACCAGTTCCCCACCACCATCATTCCCACTACCACCACCCACCGCTGCTGTTACTTTACCTCCATTGTCATTGTCCCACCATGACCACCACCCCTCATCGCCTTATCATTGTCATCATCATTGTCACCCACAACTGTCACCACACAACCGATCATCCTCATTTATCACAATTATCATTGTCTCCACTACTATTACTGTCGCTCACCACC